CATTTACAATTCTATTGATCTTTTTCTTTCAACGAGAGACATTTACCCCAATTCACCATTTGCTGTATTTTTATGTTAATACAATTGTTTATTTCTTAAACCTCCGCCGTTTCTTCTTTGCTCTGCCACCAGACGCTTAATATAATAAAGTCCTCACGAAACAAACTTACCAGTACCCGATGACTAAATAATTTTGGTGTGCACTAGTCTCATCATAATGCTAATTTATTCATCTACCCCGATTCCTAGGTAGATACATTTGGTGTTATCATATGTTTCTACAACTAGGCCTACAATTAATTACTAATAGATACTAATAAAAAGAATTAAGTGTGGTGCAATAAGTATAATAATGTTTGTGAATCTATGTCGGGCTGAGGGTAGTAGAGAATGCTTGTTCTCGAGAGGGATGGATGTTTTATCATTGCTGTGGGGGGCCCTTCTTAGTTCTTGGGCCTCTGAACAAAGTACCGGCTGGACCCCTTCTCATAGACCCTATCAACAATCAACGAAAGAAGCAAATTCTGATAATGAATGCCATATTAGTAACGTCTTCATTAACTCTGGACCAATATAAATACACCATCAATTTTCCAATACCTTGAGTTTCAGGATCGCATCAGAACCATGCCCTCTCTCCTGAACCAACAGAGGCCACATCATAGTAAATAAATAATCCATCTCTGACCCACGAATTATGTACATCTCATCTCTTTAAAGCGCTAGGACTGTTGATAAATTAAATAAATAGTAAATATGAATTAAGTGATCAATGTAAGAACCTCGAAAATTCAAGTGTCCTCACGTAATCTTATCCGGATTAAAAGAGGTATCTGATCGTCGTTGTAACTAATTAGATTCCAAAACATTTAAAATAATCGAATTCACTATTAATGGTCAGCGAAAACTAAAAGGACACGTTGTTTTTTTATTGATTTCCAGTAGCTGCTAAAACGGAATCAATATTTGAGACGAAAGTTGGCATCTAAAAACAACTTGAGTTTGGAAGAGAAGAGTAATACTATTGTAGTAAGTAAATCCATTTATTTAACGATATCTTAAAAAATATTTATTTCAACGAAAATTCAAGCATTGACATATGGATATTTAATCACATAATAACAAAAGAAAATATGAACGCTTTTTTAAAATTACGTATTTCTTCAAATCTGACTTTATCCTCCAACTAAGGAAAAATGAATTTAAAAAATGTGAACGTCTTTACCAATTGAGCCAAACGACCCTTCGATGCAAACGGCATGCTGGGTCAGGCACTGCGTCCCAATGCGGCAAAAATACGTTTTGGCATCAGTGCGTTGTTATATCGAACGAAATGTTGGCCACTGGTTTGCGGAGGTTGAGGAAAGAGAAAGGAAGCGTTGCATGACTTTTAAAAAGTTTGATTTGGGTCTGAGCGGAAATGGCGCCCGGAGAATCCGATCCACCAAAAAAGAAGGACACTTACGGAGGACGATCAATAAGAATGGCAGTGTAATAGGTTATCACCAACAGGCGCCATTGGCTGGTATTTGAAGTATGTAGCCAATAGAAAGTCTGTAATGTTAATATTTGGATCAGCTGAACAGCATGGATATTTTAAGTGCTAAGAATGATCGTATAAAATATGGGGTGAAAAAAAAGCTAGGTACATTTTCATTCAGAATTTAAATTGTTTCAATGTATTATTTTTCTTTACGCCATGTTCCTTCAGGATATGGAGGATCATGGCTTTCCACAACTTCCTATTCTTTGAATTTGTTATTTTACTGCCCTCCCCACCATTCCGTTCTGACACCTATACATGCTTGTTAGGTAGGTTACTTAATAGGATTTATTTCAGGGAGGGTGTCGGAGAAGAGAGAACCTCCCCCCTCTTATCCTGAATCATACTTATTATAAAACCCAGGTTGTGTGTGTGTGTGTGTGTGTGTGTGTGTGTGTGTGTGTGTGTGTTTGTGTGTTTGTGTGTGTGTGTCTGTACGTTTATATATTGGATCGGATTTCCTACATTTTTCAACCGATTTCAACAAAACTTCACAGGACTACGTAAAATTACCTTGCGGTGGTTCTGACTCCGCCAAAAATTGGAAAAACAATTGTTTTTGCACGAAATCAATTTTAAAACACGATTAAGAGGCATCGCCAGAATGGAAGGGGGACAACTCATATCGAGTTATACTTATTATAAAACCCAGGTTGTTTGTGTGTGTGTGTGTGTTCATTTATATATGGGATCGGATTTCCTACATTTTTCAACCGATTTCAACAAAACTTTACTTTTTTTTTTGGCAGGTAGTGTTTCTTATTGTCTTGCACACTTTTTTCTTTATTTTTACATTCAGAATGCTTTAAAAATTCCATTTACAAGACAATTGTTTATAATAAAATTCTATTCAATCGGTAGACTCATAACGATTGAAAACAATGTTTTTGTTTGAGTTTGGGTTTGACCAATTCGTAAAAAAAAAAAAAAACTAATTAAGACATGCATATCCGTCAACCTTAAACAATAATTTTATTTTTCAGTCTCTATGATGGTCGATACTTGATCTATCTCTTACTGTTACATCCCCGGGCAACGCCGGGCTCTACTGCTAGTACTGAATAAGGAGCATAAGAATACAAACAAGACTCGAAACCCCGATGTGAAATTTGAACGAAACAAACATTCATTACAATGACATAAAAAAATAGAACAAAATACAAAATGTTGCTTTTGTGCGACCTGTTATTAAGGCAAGATAACCAGTTCAGAAAATAAATTATGCCTCATAAAAGTAGATACAAACTAAAAAAAAAACTTTCAAAAATCAAAAAATCTTTTCAGAAGGTACAAAACATTTCTATTAAAAAAAGGTCCTAATAATACAAAGTCTTTTAAAAAGAAGATACATTTACGTATTTGAAAGTCGAAACTGAGAAGTTTGTAAGAGTCACCAGAGTCGCTGGGATTTTAACAAATTTGTTCTTGTTTTAAAAGACAGTACGATTATTAAATTCAGGAAATTTTCACTTTTCTGGTTTCTTTAAGCTTCTACTTCTTTTTGTTCTGTTTCTTTCTTCTTTTGCTTCTTGCTTCGTAAGAAACTTCCTATTTCATCCACTGGTGACAGCAAAAATTCCCTGTTTTGAAATCCTTCTCTAGTTTGTACCTTTTTAAATCCATGTATCTGTCTGAATTTTCCACCGAACTAGACTTCTTATATAGGCCCCAAACAGGCTCCAGACGAGTTCCAATTTTTAAATTTGCGTGGGAGAAAGTCACCCTCCTCATTGATAAAAATAAAAACAAAAGTGTATCTATTTTTGAAAGTTGTAAATTAAATCTTAGAAGTAACAAATCGTTCGCTTTTAGCTAACTTATTTCGGCGTTTTTTTCTCGAGCCATTTTATTTTTAGAAATTTTAAAGAACAGATGTTACATATCAAATTTACTAGTTAATTTTTACTAACCGTTTGGTTTTCTTTATTTTAAACACTTCTATTAAAAGCAACTATAATAAACAAACCCAGTCTATTATATTTCTTTATTTTTTTAACTTTACCTTTCTATTAATCATTTACTTCATTTACATTTTTTATATAAATATTTATATTCTCCCCTCAAGAGTAAGAGCAATAAACAAACTTATAAATTGTATTATTCTTTAATTATTTTACATTCTTCTACTTCTTTATGTGCAGTGTCCTCTCAGGACGTAAGCGGTCATGGCTTTCCACAACTTCTTGTTCCTATTTTACATTACTTTCTTATAAAGAAAATGTATTTACTCGCTGTTTATCTCTATTGCCATCAATATGTCTTGTAAGTGTCAAATTTTCCACGCCTCCTTTCCTCATTATATGTCCGAGGAATTTCAACTCTTTCTGAATCTTAGTATAAGTATCTTTATGTTTCTATCTACCATTCTCCATTTGTGAGGAAATTGTCCAGCATTCACTGCCATATAGGAGAATTGATATTACATAGCAGTACAGCGCTCTTTTCTTTGATTCTAATGAAATTTTCCTTTTTCTTCATAAATTCTCATTAGATTATCACCTTTTGTTTAAGTTGTAAATGCGATAAATTATTAAAGCTTGTCGTAGTACTGTAGCAATATTATTATTATAAATAAAAATAAAATATAAAATAATAATAATAATGAAAATTATAAATAAAATAAAATAAAACAATAACATAAAAACGTTGTATAAAATAAGTTAAATAAAAATTAAAAATAATAAAAATTCTCCCAGCATGCAGCAAAAACTGTTTCTTTCGGAAATACGGACATCCCGCCGAATGATGTTAAATTCAATCTCTTCACCACGAACCTTAGTACGGGCAACACGTGTTCAATTTTCCTCTGTGATATGGCTACTTTTATAACATTTACCATAAAACAATTGTATCCTAAAAATACACACACCAATACACACAAAAATATAAATAAACTGTGTGATAGTAAGATACAATTTACCATGTTTTTCCTGTTATTTCTGCACGTTTTATTTCTAGTCAGGTATGTTTTATCTCCGTGAACACAAGGCTAATTTCTGTTGCTATGATGTGAGTGAATCCCTCGTACTAGTGCGGGGGATTTATGGTTAACGAAAGATGGAATTAGCGAGCCGAGTTCAAATTCCAGTTTGTGCTTATTTTACATTGATACCCTCAAGAAAAATAGGAATCTCTTCCTTCCATTTATTGATTAAATAACACAGCAGACTGGGTTATTTGCAGCTAGCGATTATATGGAAGTGGTGAGATGGAAAAAGGAGGCCGTACCCCAAAAGATTTTTGTCTGATCTCTTCTTGGTTACCCTCCTACTTTTAGATGTTATAATATAGAATTGTGATTGATACATATTTTAATAATGTTAGATTTCTGAAAAAGAAATCACGCAAAGTAACCAAAACCGTTATTAATTATAGTTATTTCATTGTCTCTTTGAATATCTGATATAACAGTTAATTGATGTAACATTTCCAGTGAGCAAGGCTTAAGGCGATATTACATTGAAACATTGATTTCCGTGCGACCACCGAAATTAAGCAACATCGGACCTGTTCAGTACCTAGATGGGTGACCGCTTGGGAATACTCGGTGCTGTAAGTTTGGATGTGCGGGTGGTGTAATGGCTAATGACCCAGAACTGTTAATCGGAGTTCCGAGTTCGAATTCTTGTATCATTCACTTACTCGCAAATACCCGTCGGAAAGGTATATTTAAAGATTTCCCCCCAGCTATGGGTTAAATCAATGTTTCTCAACTTTTTTAAGCAACGGCGCACCTCAGTGCAAATGAAAATATCACACCACACTTAGCAACATTTTTAAAGGGTATATATTTAAATGTTATGAAATAAAACCATAGATCAAAAAATACACACAAATATGAACTTACTTTATTTCAATGTTTCTATTAAATTATTTGCGTAGCTTATTTAGTGTAAAACCTGTTCCTGGTGTTTTTACATGATGTCTTCAATGTTTCACGGCACACTTAAGAGGATCACGCGACACACTAGTGTGCCGCGGCACGGCGGTTGTGAATCAATAGGTTTATTAGTAAGACTTGTATTACTAAATCATCAATCTCAAAAAAAAAAAATCTTACAATCTAAAACTATTTTCTGGCTTTAAAAAACCTGAAAGTGTTGATAAACCGTAAAAAATGAATAAATCGAGTAACCAGCGCTTCATGCAAAAGAAGCTTGTCAAGAATGAAATTAGTGAAAACATTTCTGAGAAATTCTATAACAAATGACAGACTGAATAACATTTTACTGTTATCAATTGCAGAATTGCGTGCCGAGAAAATCAACTTCTAAGTTTTGCTAATAAATCTGATAGACGCCATGATAATCGTAGAATTAATCTTTAAATCTGTTGAGATTATTTGTGAACTACGTCGCCATTGCTTCTGCTACTACTACTCATCGGAAAATATACTGATTTAATCGTGTTTTATTCAGTTTAACTCGCCAAATATCTGTTCTGCGAACAGAGAAATGTATAATGTTTAGACATTATGGAAAAAGAATGAGAATAGACCAAACATATCGGGTGTGGCAGTAAAATTGCCCAATTGTTAGATTAAGCTTTGAACCGTTGTATCTTAGAAATGATTAAAGATATCTTACTGGAATTCTCCGAGATGTTCATAACATTATTGAACTCTACTTTGAACAAAAAGAATGTATTTAGTTCTAAGTTGAAATGATGATCCCTCTTGCTGTTGTGACCTCTTGATCCAGTTTTCCTCTCTACTTTTCTCTCTTTTTTAAACTTATTCACCATTCTCTCGATGCTTCTTGAATGGACTTTGAAGATGGAAGTCAGAATGTTGGTACTATTATGAAGGCCTGAATGATCTTTTTCCTCTCACCATTGCTCAGTTGGGAAGACATAGTGGGGCTAACACTTTAAGCTGTTCTCTTTCTAGCTGAATAACTCAGAGGGTTTTTCAGTGATTCTTATGACAAAAGGTGTCAAGATGGCTACACCTCAAAACCTGGAAAAAAGAAACTAAATTAGTTTAATGATTTTTTTTAGATATTAAACATTTTGTGGGATGAACAATTATCCCATTCTGTTACACGATTTAGACAATTTTGCGGTTACACCTGTTATATTAAACATAACGTTTATTGTATAGAAAAAAAACAACAAAAAACAATAGACAACATACAAAACTTTTACCTTTTTGTGAATGTCTCCTTAAGTCCGTTTCACACTCCCCCGGTCTTTTGAACAGGAGTAGAGGTTTATACCTTGTTTCCTGTTTTGGATTGGGTTTCCGGTTCTTTCTAAAGCCTACTTCAGCTTTATACTGCTAGCGTCTCCACCTGAACTCTGGAATTTTATTCACTAATTAAATCTTAACCCCCTTCAAGTCTAGAATTAGCTGTGGATCATTTGTTATAAATTCGGTATATGTTATCAGAAGGAGGGAAACAGACGCGTTGAATGTTCACATGTTGGAGGCGAAAGGAGGCCAAGAGCTCTACCCTAAACCCATTAAGCCAGATCCGTAAAACCCACACGTATAGGGTTCGGCAGAGCCCTAAATCCTGCTTCAATATGTATGTTCTAACCCTCGTGTGAGTGTGCCAAAGAATATGTGTATGTGTGTTAATTCGCTACAAAAGGATGTTGCCATAAAAAGTCTTCTTAACTATGCAATAGGGGAATTTCTATGGATATTTTAGCCATGAGCTTATTCAGTCGTTAATTTAAAAATTAAGGTTTATCAGAAATTTTAAGTAGGAAAACCGTGAAACTTTCATGGCTCTTTCTAGTTAATATTAATTGCTATTGTATATTAAGGTGTATTAAAAATATTTTCTTTTTTTAAAAACATTTATTTATTTATTTCATAAATACATCTAAAAACTATGACTCCATCATCATTATTATTATTATTATTATTTTCTTTGATTTCTGGCGTTTACACATTTCTTTCCGGGTCCCGCCCAGGGACTTAAGGTTAGAAATGGCGTCATGACACTTTCCACTGACAAAAAAAAAAAAAATTAAAAAAATTAAAAAAATAAAATAAAAAAATAAATAAATAAATTACATAGATAAAGCCCTTCGTAAGGTGTGGGCTGTACTTGTCATTATTATTATTATTATTATTATCATTATTATTATTATTATTATTATTTATTAGGGTGTGTAAACTTTTCATCCAGCTACCCACAGGCTGTAAGGCCGCGGTAAATTGAAAAAAACAAAAAACAACAAAAAACGAAGATGTCTTCGTGGTTATCAGCAACAGTTATGATATTTGGCTCATTCAAAACTCTTTATCGCTGATCCTTTCCATGTCGCTGCTGGTGGATTCGAACTGGGGATCGAAACGGATTAAAATCGACTATCATTTGATTTATTAAACGATAAAGTCTCATTGAGACAGTCGAAACGTTCTCCGGGGAGATGTCAGTCAAGAATTAAACGCGCGCGCGCGCACACACACACACACACACTGGTTCCTAAGATTTCCTTTGAAACACGACATAATATTAAATTTCCAACAACAGTTCTATTTGCTGTATCTACATCAGGAATCGCAAATGCACGGAAAATATTAATGTTTCCCTCTATTTTTGAGGCAACCATCATTTGTAGAAAATCCCTATTATTTCAGGGTCTTGCCTTGGGAAACGAGAATAAGGAAGAAGTTGCGTTGCTCTTCATTCGTTAATATTTTCTTGGCAGGAAGGTGCCTAAGTTTAATTATCTGGGAAGTATTTTGACAGAGAACGGTGAGTACGGCGTTGAGATCCGAAGACGTCTTGGGATGGCCAAGAAAGCATTCCAAAAGCTGGGCAGAGTACTGCGAGACAGGATGATTTCTTTGGTAACAAAAAAAATAGAGTACTCCTTTACAGCAGTTGGATGGTCTCCTCAAAGATGAAGAAGAGACTCCAGGCAACGGAGGTAGGGCTCTACAGAAGGATGCTAAGGATGCCGAGCGTGTGAGCAACGATGAGGTTTTGGAGAGGATGCAAACAAGGAGGAAACATACTTAACATCAGGAAGAGGCAGATGACATTTCTGGAACACATAATATGAAAGAATGGCCTGGAGAATTTGATACTCTCAGGTCGAATAGAAGGAAAGAGAGACATGGGAAAGCAATGTATGACATACCTGGCGGGTTTAAGCAAGTGGATGACAAAACGTGGTCTGGAGGAGTTGGCAGAAGGACAAAACTTATTGAGAGCTACAAGAGATAGGGGGATGTGGAGAGCCTTGATCGCCTACGTCCTGAAGGGACACGGCACATAAAAAGAAAAGAATGTGTGTGTTCGTTGCAAATTTTTCTGTTCATTCAGGAATTGATCACGTGATTATGGGCAGCGGATACAATGCTGTAACAGCTACGGCCTGCCTCTGATGGCGCCTAGCCCAAAATGACCTCTGAGTAAATCTCTTTGTTTACTTCTATTAAGAATAGCACGGACGTCTATACAATGCATCAATTATTCGAAAACCAGATGCCTATTTGTTGACAGCCAAGAGTTTTGCTTGTAAAATTATCTGGATAAGTTTTTCGTCCGTAAGGATTTCGGGTGAGTAGTATTTAAAATAAATATGCTTTCTCGCTCTCGATAACAAGCTATCCACACTTATCGTTCCTGTCAACCCACTTAGGGAAAAGTAGGAGTGAATAGGGTGAAGTTAGGGGACGGTGGAGTAATGGATAGCGGCTAGGTTTGAGGAATCGGTGAGCCGAGTTCGAATTCCAGTCGAATCCATTACATTCACTTATGTGCTAATACCTTTGGGAAAGGTATGAATCCTCTTCTTCTCCATCCAGCTATGGGTAAATAGCAGGACAGACTGGGTTCTATATCCTTGAATGGCAACTGGTCTACCGCAGAGAGAAATGGCGGACTAATGCGGGAAAAAATCTGCCTCGTTAGTCATGTATCGAAAGATACATGATCATCTAAGCGTGTATTACGCACGACACTTAACTGATGACTAGGGGATTATTACTGAGTTGTGAACAGTTTAATACGTTAGATCCGCTAGTCCGAACCTCGGGTCACTCCATCAATTCTTGGCCGATTTAATCTATTGCATTTTTAATTAGCTTTTTTGACAATTTGTTCCAATTAGCACCCAGATTTATAAAAACTATTTTCCAATAACTACACATAAAATTATGTAAATTCATGGCATACGTTGATTAGAGCTACAAGGACAGCAAGCAGTGGAAAGCCATCATCATCATCATCCTCTCTACGCCACTTCTGATGATTCAGTGCTTTTTCTAATCCCACCAAATATTTAGGATTAATTTGATCTTTACAAAATACTCCTGATAGGCAGCCTTGTGCCAGACAGTTGACCTTGTCCAACATATTGTGACTACATTATGATTTTCTGTAGGAAAACAAGCTCTAGCGCCCCAAATTATCACGGTTGCTATGGCAATGAGACAGACGGTTAGTTAGAATCAAATATTAATATACATTATTTACATGCAAACTATTGTCCTCATCTTTGTTGTTTTTGTCTCAACGTTTCAGCCGTTGTGCCGTCCGGCTTTCATCAGGGGCATGTCGATCGGAGTAACGTTCAAGGAATTTCGTACTG